TTTTTTTTTCCCTAAGAGTCTTACTCTGTTGCCCTGTGTAGGGTGCTATGATATCATAGCTCACAGCAACCTCAAACTCTTGGGCTTCAGTGACCCTCTTTCCTCAGCCTCCAGAGTAGCTAGGACTACAAGTGCCCACCACAGTACCTGGCTAGTTTTTAGGAAAGACAGGGTCTCACTCTTAACTCAGGCTGGTCTCAAACTCTTGATATCAGATTGTGCACTGGCCTCAGCCTCCTAGAGTGCTAGGATTATAGATGTGAGCCACTGAGCATGGCTTTTTCTTGAGAGTGGTCAGGGCACCCAAGGAAAGAGGTGGCATTGGGGGCACAGCCCCCAAATCGCCTCATATCCCAAACGCTACAGTTGGAAAGACCACGCTGGGGCTGCCTTGTTTTCCACGTATCTTCACAAAAAACCGCAGCTCAAACTATTAAGTAGGGGATGTGCCTTTCCTGAATCTGAAGGGACCTAATGCAGCGAGCAGCATGTCTCCTCGTGGCTGTGGCCTGCGGCTGGGCCAGGCTGTGAACAGTCTTTACAAGAGGGGAGAGGTCTGGCCTCCCCCATTCCACAGTCAAGGACACAGAACTGTCTAAAAGGGGATGTGGGAAATAATTTCTAGCATCTTCCACTAAGTGATGTACAATTTAGGGACAAGAGTAGACGGTCCTCAGGTTGGACTGGTCTTCACCTGTGTCCAGCAGAATAATTAATGGAGAACCAGGATTCCTGGACCCCGTTCCACCTCTGCTGTCCTGCATCCCTATCAGGCGGGGCAAACCACTTCACAGCCTCAGTGAGATGACGTGGTTGGACCTCATGGTGGTATCACACTGCTCTAGCCTGAGGGTGGCGGACTTGTTTAGAAGGTTATCAGATAAGCCCTTCTGCTCAGTAGCTACAATGGGCTCACCAAGCTACACAGGAGGGCCCAGAGAAGCACTTTGCTGGAAGACAGGAGACACGGTCTGTATGACCGTAGGTAAAGGTTCCATTTTTTTTTTCCTTAGAGATAGAGTCTTGCTTTATTCCCTCTGTAGAGTGCCGTGGCATCCCACAGCTCATAGCAATCTCCAGCTCTTGGGTTTAGGTTATTCTCTTGCCTCAGCCTCCCGAGTAGATGGGACTATAGGCGCCTGCCACAACACCTGGCTATTTTTTTTTTGCAATTTGGCTGGGGCTGGGTTTGAACCCGCCACCCTCAGTATATAGGGCCAGTGCCCAACCTACTGAGCCACAGGCACCAACCCTTGAGGTTCTATTTTGTTTTTACTGGTAAAATGTAGAAAAATATCAGTAGAATAGGGTGACCAAGAAGGACAAATGAGATTCCATGTTATCTATGTATACTCCTTCTCCAAAGAAAATTTTTTCTTTTTTTTTTTCTTTTTTTTGAGACAGTCTCACCTTGTCACCCTCAGTACAGTTCCGTGGCATCACAGCTCACAGCAACCTCAAATTCTTGGGCTTAAGCAATTTTCTTGCCTCAGCCTCCGGGGTAGCTGGGACTACAGGCCCCTGCCACAATGCCCAGCTATTTTTTGGTTGCAGTTGTCATTGTTGTTTAGCAGGCCCAGGCCGGGTTCGAACCTGCCACCTTTTGGTGTACGTAGCTGGTACCCTACTCACTGAGCTACAGGTGCTAAGCCTCCAAAGAAAAATTTGAGATACTGAACACAATATATAACGGGCCAGGTGCAGTGGCTCACCCTTGTAATCCTATCACTCTGGGAGGATGAAGCAGGTGGATTGCTTGAGCTCAGAAGTTCAAGACCATCCTGAGCAAAAGTGAGACCTCATCTCTACTAAAAATAGAAAAACTAGCTTGGCATTGTGGCAGGCCTCTATAGTCCTAACTACATGAGAGGCTGAGGCAAATGATTGCTTTAGCCCAGGAGTTTGAGGTTGTTGTGAACTATGATATCATGGCATTCAACCCAGGGTGACAGAGTGAAACTTTGTCTCAAAAAAAAAAAAAAAGTGTGTGTGTGTGTATGTATATGTATATCTATAAAATGAAAGATGACAAATTCATCTTACAAGAAGGGGAAAAAAGATATAACCAGGAGGCTCATGGCATCGCAGGACTCATTCTGCAGTCTCGTCCATGGGCTACAGGGGTTACAGACTTGGCCCTAAAGCTTTCTGTGGCCAAAGCAAAGAGAGAACTATCATCAGTTAGCCCATTTTCAGTACCCAGAGAGTAAAAACAATTCAGCTGTTTAGGAGAAGGGACTTCCTACTAGGATGTGGGAGAGAGTTCTCTGAGAGGACATGGTGAGACGCAGTGAGCAGCATGATCAACAGGGCTCTAATTATAATCCAGTGGTCAGTTTCAGATACTTCCAGGTGTCAGATAACAAGCAGGAAGTGCTGTGGAAGCCAGGAATCCTGAGTAAATGAGCCACCCCCTCACCAGAGACTCCTACCTCACGGCCGCATACAGAGCACTGTGATTGCAATGGCCGCTGACTCCTCCTACATCGAAAGTCACCACCTGTGGAGAAACACAGGGTTTGCACCGTGACTATCTGAATGTTTTATCCACTGGCCAACCTCAGAGTAGCTGTCTCCGTTCCCTGGGGAAGGAAAGGAGAGAGCAGAGCCTGAAACTTTCCAAATTCAAGGTACATCTGATGACTTCTGAGCACATCAGTGGTGTGTGACGACTGCTTTGGTCAACTGCGTGGAGACAGCTGCCATCGGTTTGACTGTTTATTCTTGTTCCTGACCGGTGGAGCAGAGTGGAATTCAGCCACAGCCAGAACGAGGGTTCAGAGTATCCTTGCTCCTTATCTGCTTAGCCATTTATTAGCACACTCAGTGTTCCTGGCTGGCTGCTCTGTGAACTTCGGTCATGCAGACGAGGCCTGATTTATTTGCTTTCTTTTCCTCATGCCGCACTGAGGGCACAAAAGCTTTGAGAACAAAGTCCACCATGCCCTGGGGTTGAGTTCATGGAAAAAGCATATTTATTCATAGACTGCCTCTGTTTCCATTTTCAGAGATTTATCACCATCTATTAACCACAAGCTCAGTGTGGGTTCCATCACTTCATTTCTGCAGAGATGGATTAAAAAACCAAAGGATCATTTGAATAACAATAATAATAATAAGGATAACGTGAATACTAAAAGAAATTTAAGAAAGAAAGTAGGATTCAGCAAAAGAAATAGTTTGGTTGGTTAGGGGGACAGTAAGAGGCAACCTGTCCCCAAGGAAGAAGGTGACCCCTCAGGAAGACGAAGGAACCTGGAACTGGATTGGAATAGCTGGGGAGGTCCTTCTAGTTTTAAACCGTAAAACTTGTTGACTTTATGTATAGAAAACTCTTTGTTATATAAGAGCAGTAACACTCTTTGAGCACAGGACTGACCCTGTCTTATACCTGAGGACGTTGAGGGGACAGAGGCTGAAGCTGGGGTCACCTTGCCTATGAGTGGTGCAGCTGGTCTTAGGGCTTGGATCTGTCTGGCTCCAGAGTCCAAGCTCTTTGCCAGCATCCCCCTTGCAAGAAGGTGTGCTGGGACCGGGCCCAGGGGCTCGGGTGCCTGTAGTCCCAGCTAATGGGAGACTGAGGCAAGAGAATCAGTTGAGCCCAGGAGTTTGAGGTTGCTGTGAGCTGTAAGCTATGTCGCCACGGCACTCTACCAAGGACAGCAAAGTGAGACTCTGTCTCAAAAAACAAAAAAAAGATAATGTTCATGCTTCTCCCACTTCTTTCCAACTGCTTTTATGTTCAGTTTATCATTTTGCTCTTTGGGTTGCTGGAAGACGGCTGAGCCAGTAACCCACAAGATGGCTGTTTTTCTAAAGGTTTTGATGACAGTTATAATAATACTTAACTGTTCTTCTGTCATCTTGGTATGGTCAAAAAAAAAAAATAATAATACTAGTTTACTGAGGGGTCAGGCATGGTGGCTCATGTCTATAATCTTAGCCTCTGGGAGGCCAAGGCAGATGGATCACCTAAGCCAGACGTCCTCAAACTACGGCCCACAGGCCACATGCTGCCCGCCTAGGACATTTATCTAACTCTCCGGGTGTTTTTGCCGCCGCTGCCCATCTTGCTTAGCATTCGACTCGTCCCAGGGCCCACAGTTCAGCCCTCCAACAGACTGAGGGACAGTGAACTGGCCCCCTGTTTAAAAAGTTTGAGGACCCCTAAAGAAGAACCTGGCTTTCTCTGAGGTTCCACAGCCCACAGCCCCTTCTCACTGATATCCTCTTCCTATGGTCTGTTCACAGGAGTGCTGTTTAGTGAGTCTCACTTGCTGAGGTCGGTTTATGGACCCTGGTCTAAGCTCACGAGTTTGAGACAAGCCTGTGCCAGAGCGAGACCTCATCTCTAAAAACAGCTGGGCGGGCTCCTGTAGTCTTGTAGAGAATTGCTTGAGCCCAAGACTTGAGGATGCTGTGAACTATGATGCCACCACAGCACTCTATGGAGGGCAACAAAATGAGACTCTGTCTCAAAAAAAAAAAAAAAGAAAGTTAACTGAGGTTACTGAGGCAGGCAGTGAAGGTCAGACTTTTCATATCTGTGATGATGAACTGTATGCAATGCCCAGACGAGACCATGGACAAGTTTGTAATGAGGTTCTCGCCAAAGCGGTAAAGCAAGGATCTTGCCGACTGAGCCAAGTGTAGCTACTGCATTCGCAGGCCACCCTCCCCTACCCACAGCACAGTCCTGGCTAGAAACAGAGCAGTGCCTCTGCTGCTCTGGGTCAGGCCGACACCCTCTGCCCCAGCAAGAGAACCAAATGTGAGAGGCACAGAGACAGTGGAAACACAGAAAACAATGTCCAATCACCAAATATTCACTGGGCACCAATGTACCGTGGCCACAGGAGACTCTCTGGAATCCGGCCTTTGGGAGATTTGGGAACATCATGAAGAGCCCACACCAGACCAGGTGAATTCTGGGTAATCTCCAGATGGTCTCCTGGGGACAGAGAGGTTCTGCCTTGGGAATAGTCCCCTTTGTTAAAGCTGAGTTGCTGTCTGACAGAGCCTTCTGCCTTCTGTCTTACACCATCATTGCATAGTTTCCATGGGTGAAGTGCTCAGCAGAGGGAGACTTTCCTAGGGCCAGGCAGTCAAAGTGGAGCTGTGTTTTTAGTAGTGAAAATGGAACTGGTAGGCACTGCTCTGGGCATTGCTTAATTGTGCAGGAAATGATTAACTGTGTCAGGAAGTCTCAAAACAAAGTTTCAGAGTAACCAGATCAAACAAGACTGAGGCAGAACCAGTTCCAACCAGTTAGAACTAAGATGGTAGAGAAATTGACCACTTCTTGACCTTCTGGCTTCCTTATAAACTAAGGAAGCCTCTGACTCCCTTCATACGCTTGATGCCATGTTACTTCCTGAATGGCCATATTTAGTCAAAAAGGGCATTCATGGTGCCCTAAATCTGGGAAAACACTACTCCTCTCCAAGAAAGAGCATGAATATTCTGCCCCTTGTTTAGCATATAATTAAGCTGTTGCTTAAATAGACTAAAGGAACCGGGGGCCAGCTCTCTTCTGCAGGAAGGAGGGTCTACTCTCTCTGTGAAGTAGACTTTCTGTATTTCTGATACATCTCACTTTCACTTTCTTTTATTTATTTATTTATTTTTTGAGACAGAGCCTCAAGCTATCCCCCTGGGTAGAGTGCCGTGGCATCTCAGCTCACAGCAACCTCCAACTCCTGGGCTCAAGCGAGTCTCCTGCCTCAGCCTCCCAAGTAGCTGGGACCACAGGCGCCCACCACAATGCCCAGCTAATTTTTTTTTTGGTTGCAGCCATCATTGTTGTTTGGCGGGCCCGGGCTGGATTTGAACCCACCACCTTGGGTGTATGTGGCTAGTGCTTTAGCCACTTGAGCCACAGGCGCCGCCCACTTTCACTTTCACTTTCACCGTCAGCTAACTCCTGAATTCCTTCTGTGTGAAGCCAGGAACCCACCTGGACTTGCAGTAGCTGCCAGCATTGGCCTTGGGAGTAACGTCCCTGTGTCAGTAACATGTGTTTCCATTTCCTCCAACCTGCCAATCCCTGGACTGCACCCCTTCAGTGCCAACCTCAGGTCCCAGAAAAAATGAAATTTATTCTTGGAAGGGTCATCACTTCAGTGTGACTGAGGCTCCAGAGTAAGAATTCTTGGTAGGATCAATAATCTTCCCCCCAAATGTGTCCTAATCCCTGGAACCTGTCATTGTGACATGGGAAGATCATCCTGGATTAGTTGGTGAGCCTGATGTAACCCCAAAGGTCCTTATAAGAGGGACAGAAGAGGGTCGGGGTCAGAGGAGGCCACGTGCCAGCAGAAGCAGAAACTGGAGTGATAACTTTGGAGACTGAGGAAGAGGCTGCAACCCAAGAAACACAGGCAGCCATGAGGAGCGGAACACGGTGAGAAAACGGATCCCCCACCCCCACCCAAGCCTCCAGAAGGAGCTGCCTGCAGACACCTTCATCTTAGCACAGTGAAACTGATTTGGGACATGCGAGGAAACCAAGAGTGGGGTAGGTTTGGGATTGTGGCAGTGCACCACTATGCAGGCGATATTGCTAACGGGGTGGGGGTGGGGCTGTGTGTGTAGAAACAGAGTTTGAGGGCTTGGCGCCTATGGCTCAAGCGGCTAAGGCGCCAGCCACATACACCTAAGGTGGCGGGTTCGAATCCCCAGCCCGGCCGCCAAATAACAATGATGGCTGCAACGAAAAAATGGCCAGGCGCTGTGGCGGGCGCCTGTAGTCCCAGCTACTTGGGAGGCTGAGGCAGGAGACTTGCTTGAGCCCAGGAGTTGTAGGTTGCTGTGAGCGTGATGCCATGGCACTCTACCCAGGTGGATAGCTTGAGGATAGCCGTCTCAAAAAAACAGAGTTTGAGGGAACTACTTTTTGTTCAATTTTGCTTTGAACCTGAAACTGCCTCAGCCTCCCGAGTAGCTGGGACTACAGGCGCCCGCCCCAAAACCCAGCTATTTTTTGTTGCAGTTTGGCCAGGGCCTGGTTTGAACCTGCCACCCTCGGTATATGGGGCTGGTCCCTTACTCACTGAGCCACAGGCACTGCCCCTGAAACGGCTCTTTTAAAAAGTCTATTTAGGCTCGGCACCTGTGGCTCAAGTGGCTAAGGCGCCAGCCACATACACCTAAGGTGGTGGGTTTGAATCCAACCCGGGCCCACCAAGCAACAATGACGGCTGCAACCAAAAAATAGCTGGGTGTTGTGGCGGGCGCCTGTGGTCCCAGCTACTTGGGAGGCTGAGGCAGGAGACTCGCTTGAGCCTAGGAGTTGGAGGTTGCTGTGAGCTATGATGCCACAGCACTCTACCCAGGGGGACAGCTTGAGGCTCTGTCTCAAAAAAAAAAAAAAAAGTCTATTTTAAAAAATTTATAGGCCAGGTGCTGTGGCTCAGACCTATAATCCTAGCACCCTGGGAGCCTGAGGTGGGAGGATTGTTTGAGCTCAGGAGCTGGAGTTATGGTCAGCTAGACTGATGCCACGGCACTCTAGCCTGGGACAGAAGTGTGAGACTCTGTGAGAAAAAACCTGGTTCTGATCTTACTCTTGCATGCAACAAAATGAGGGTAGGGCGGGGAAGACCAAAGTCTACCCTCATGTCTAACACGAGAGAAGGGCAGCACCTTGCATAAGTCACAGAACTTTACCACCACAAGTCATTTCAGTCTAAAACGTTTTGGTTTACTTGTGTGAGAGATCAGGAAAGTAATACCTGCCCTCTGTTCATTGCTGGGTTGAGGTGAAGATAAAATAAAACCACATGACTGTGTTAAAAACTGTACAGCAGTAAATGCCTGAGTGTCTTAACTCCAAGTCCACTGCTGTGAGATGGAGCCAGTGGCATCTGGCTGGAAGATATCAGAAGGGTGTGAAGGGCAGGCCCTCTGCTAGGGGGTTTCAGGGACCTCAGCTCAGTCCCTTTGGAAACTCCAAGCCTTTGTTTCTTCCTCACCCTGCGCCTTCTTATGACCTCCCCCTTCCTCTCTGCTGTGAGTAGGTGGAGCTGAACTGTGTCCAGCTCCTTGGACCTTGGCAGGTTTGTGCATGACAATGGTGGCAGCTGAAGCTCTTTACAGAACTGCGTCCACTTCTCTTTGTTCCTAACCTGCAGATGTCTCTGTCCAAATGAACCTGCAGATGTCTCTGTCCAAATGAACCTGCAGATGTCTCTGTCCAAATGAAATTCTACCCAGACCCCAACAAGCCAAAGAGCAAGGACAGGGCTGCTGTGGTTGCAAGAACATTGGTTCTCACCGAGAGGCAGTTTTGGCTCAGGGGCCTGTGGTGATGTCTGGGGACAGTTCCATTGTCACAGTGGAGGAGGGGCTGCTACTGACATCTAGTGGGAAGCCAGGGAAGCAGCTACACATGACGCAGTGCACAGGCCACCCCAGCACTACCCAGGCCCATGTGACGGCAGCACTGCTGCCCAGACATCCTGCTCTGAGGGAGAGGGATGCAGTGACCCACAGGTGCTCAGGTATAGAGGGCAGCGGGAGCCCAGCAGGGCAAGCAGGGTTCACAGCTAAGAGAAGGGTGACATGGAAGATCTAAGAGCCGGCCCTATGCCAGAAGCTCCAGGACAGCACACTGTACCTAAGTACTGCGGTCCAGTGTCGTCAGGTGGGAATGTGATGTGGTAGGGAGAACACTGGGCAGGACGAGGACACCTGAGCTCCAGCCCCCTGCTCACTATGTGACCGTGGGCAGGACTGTGTGACCCCTGCTTACTGCCTGATTGTGCATCATCAGTGATGCCTGGGATAGTTCTGGGATGTAGCTGCTGACCTCCTGAGAGCCCTTCTAGCACTGAAATCTAGTTTGTCACAAGCTATTTATTTTTCTCCCCATCCCCTGGACTGAGGTCTGACAAAAAGTGTATATACAGAGGGTGCCAAAAAATGTATTCACATTTTAAGAAATGAAAAAAACTATTGAAATTGTAATGATACATGCTGGTAATGAAAGAAGAGCACAAGTCACATCCGGGCGCCTCTTGTAATTGCAGAAGTCAAATGTGACTTGAATATTACAGGCTACACATTAGCTCTCCAGAACTTACTCACCTTTAATTAAAAATTCTTACTATTTTTTTCTTTTTTAGCAACTCTGTCACCCTAGCTAGAGTGTAGTAGTTGGGTCATAGCTCTCTGCAACCTCAAATTCCTGGGCTCAAGTGATCCTCCTGCCTCAGCCTTCTAAGTAGCTGAGATAACAGGCACACATCCCCACTCCAGCCTGAAGTCTTTATTTTTTATTTTGTTTCATTGCCCAGGTGTTAATTGATCCTCCCACCCCTCGCCTCACAACGTGCGGGGATTACAAGTGTGAGCCACTGATTCCCCCCAGTTTCCCCCACCCTTCAGTCCCCAATGACCTCCTCCACCTTCCTACTCTTTGTTTCTATGAGTTTGACTTCTTTTTATCCACATATAGGTGAGATCATACAGTATTTTCTTTCTGGGTTTCGATTATTTCACTCAGCATAATGTCCTTCAGGTTTATTTACATTGTTGCAAATGGCAGAATTTCCTGGTTTTCTGTTTTTTTTAATTTTTATTTATTTATTTTGCAGCTTTTGGCCGGGGTCAAGACTGAACCCGCCACCTCCGATATATGGGACCGGCGCCCTACTCTTTTGAGCCACAGATGCCACCCTATTTTTATTTTTTTGAGACAAAGTCTCACTATGTTGCCCTCAGCAGAGTGCTGTGGTTTCACAGCTCACAGCAACCTCAAACTCTTGGGCTTAAGTGATTCTCTTGCCTCAGCCTCCCAAGTAGCTGGGAATACAGGCGCCCACCACAAAGCCCGGCTATTTTTTGGTTGCAGTTGTCATTGTTGTTTGGCAGGCCTGGGCTGGGTTTGAACCTGCCAACCCCGGTGTATGTGGCTGGCTCCCTGGCCCCTGAGCTACGGGCACCAAGCCTATTTTCAGTTTTGTTGTTGTTGTTGTTGCTGTTTTTTTGTAAAGACAGAGTCTCACTTTATTGCCCTCAGTAGAGTGCGGTGGTGTCACACAGCTCACAGCAACCTCCAGCTCTTGGGCTCAAGCCAGTCTTTTGCCTCAGCCTTCTGAGCAGCTGGGACTACAGGCGCCTGCCACAACGCCTGGCTATTTTTTGGTTGTAGTTTGGCCGGGGGCTGGGTTTGAACCTGCCACCCTGGGTATATGGGGCCGGCACCCTACTCACTGAGCCACAGGTGCCACCCTCTTTCAGTTTTTTAAGGGACTCCCATACTGTTTTCCATAATGGCCATACCAATTT